GGGTTCCCAGCTGGGAGACGGGGCCGCGATCGGTGCTGGGAGCCTGTGGTTGCATGCAGAAGCTGGGCAGGGGGAATGGCTAGGGGGCCCAGCCAGTCTCCCTACCCCCGCCAGGCTTCTGTCCGGCGCACAGCCGGAAAAGCAGAAAATAACGGACATTACACGTCTGGTATTTTCTGAATTTTTTTACCGAACAGAGGGTGCAAAAACCAGACTGTCCGGTAGAATACCAGACACCTGGCAACCCTATGTACTGTACACAATCACAAGAGAACATTGAGATAATTCAGCAGTGTTTTACCATTCAAACAAAAATCACTGTTGAAAAGCAGAAACAAGACTAACCCAGTCTTTTCTTCCCTTTAATTTAAAGCTCACTGATTAAAATGGCACTTGAACAAAATGTTTACACTGTTTTCTGAGAAACTGCTACCACTTTTGTCGATGACATAAAATAATAAAATAATGATTTAATATTACTTGCAAGTGACAAATCCCAGCCATTCAGTTTTAATCAAACATAAGACAAAGTAAAAGTTTATGAAGCCACTTGAGCATGTTCTATAATTATATACATAGAAAGAAGATATCAGATACTTCAAAACTCAATAATCTAATAAAGAAAGTCATAACAAAATCCAAAAGCTGAAAGTCGAAGTCAGCAAAATTCAGAATATGTTGTCCTATTTAAAGAGAAAGTAGAACCTACCTACTGTGATGTTTCCTGTTTTGGTTTGGAGGGTTGTGTCACCTATAACAAAAAAGCAACAGTGTGTTTTTATGATGTTAGAGAAATTTATTTCATTATTTTATACAGTACACTCAGAGGCTGCATTGATCATCTGCATATCTGGGGTCCTGCTCTAACGACCATAAGGCAACTGCTAGTCTACATATTTTTATTTGGGTTACACATAAAAACTAACAAATCATTACAAAATATATACTTAATATTCATAGAGTTGTATTCTATGAAAAATCTCAAGAAATGCAAAAAGGAAGTAATAAAATTTAAAAATATGTAGATATGGAAAACAATTGATGTAAAACTTTATGAACATATAGACAAACAAAAAAAAACCAAAATATTTAATGGTATAAAGTACTTTATTTTTATTTTGTGCCAGGGATTTGGGGGAGGGAAGGTGGCAGTTGACTGCATCAGCTATATGGTTGGCTATAGTGATATACAGGCAGTCCCTGGGTTACATGGATCCGACTTACATCGGATCCCTACTTACAAACAGGGTGAGGCAACCCCACACTAGCTGCTTCCCCCCAGCAGACCAGGGAGACGCGGAGCGGCTTGTCTCAGCAGACACTTCAGCTTGAGAATAAAGGACTGAGGGAAGTGAGGTGTGGGAGAATAAAACTGAGCTCTGGAGAAATGTTTGGCTAGAGTTTCCCCTACAATATGTACCAGTTCCGACTTACAAACAAATTCAACTTAAGAACAAACCTACAGTCCCTATCTTGTACGTAACCCGGGGACTGCCTGTAATTGTATGTGTAACAAATATGACATAGATAGCTAACCAAAAATAGTTTCCATCTTTCAATGGAGATATTTTCCAAGTTGAGTGTGGGCCCCCAAAAAGGGTTTTTCTATTTTATTCTGTAGGGCTTGTTATTAAAAAAAAAATACTGTGGAGTCATTGCACATTACACATTGCTGTTCCCTTCAAAGTTCTCTTTACATTGGAACCCAGTGTCAATCTGTGCAACTAATCACATTAGCATCTGCTGCCGTTTGAAGGAATTCAGTGAAATGAGGATCCAACAAAGTCATAAATCTGCTTCTGGGCTTCCCTGGCTGACAACTCCCCTGCAGGCTCTGCGCCAGCTCCTATGGCTAGCCCTATCCACCGGCCGACACCCTTCTCCGTGGGTTCACCAGGAGGCAGAAAGCAGTGCGGGCCAGAGGACTCTGGAGAGGCAGGGGGTGTTCAAAGTACTCCTGTTTTCCAGCCACCAACTGTGCGGTTGCTCCCTGCTCCTTCAGGGCTCATCTAAACTACACTAAAGTGTCGAAAAAGGATATGCAAATGCTGTGGGAATGAAAGTTGTTTGGACACGGCTTTTTCAGCGATCCCCCGAAGTGTCCTCTTTTGACACTTTAGCGTAGTCTAGATGAGCCCCCAGAGTCCCAAAGTACTCCTGTTTTCCAGCCACCAACTGTGCGGTTGCTCCCTGCTCCTTCAGGGCTCATCTAAACTACACTAAAGTGTCGAAAAAGGATATGCAAATGCTGTGGGAATGAAAGTTGTTTGGACACGGCTTTTTCAGCGATCCCCCGAAGTGTCCTCTTTTGACACTTTAGCGTAGTCTAGATGAGCCCCCAGAGTCCTCCAGACAGCAGTCGAGCTGCTCCTGTGACTCTTGCCTGCTCCCCTGCTGAGGCTACAAGTGAGAGTTTGTATGTGCAGATGTTCATAAATCAGATGGGTCTGTACTTATTTCTACACAACAAAAAGAGAGAGGGCCAGATTCAGACCTGTTGCAATTAGTGAACTCAAATGGAACTGCACCCACTCACACCAGCTTTGAATTTAGCCTGTAGTTTAAATTAAAGAGATACTTGAAGAACATTAAGCATTCGGAGATCAATGAATTTCCACAAATCACATTAACTCAACCAATTCAACATGTCATCTGGAAGGCAAAGAGGAATTGCTATCTGTGCTATGTTGTGAAATGTCTATAGAATGTATATAAAACTGACTTAAGTTATGTGATTAATTAATGCCAATATTTAATCTTTCAGCTAACTAATCCTGGAGTCTGGATACATCAGAGAGGGAGCAGATACAGATACCGACTATAGTTAAATATTGGTTTGTTTAATCTGCACTATTGGATGTGCTGTTGTGGGGAAGTACTACAAGTACTGCACTCTACCAGCTTTAATAGATCATTGATGATGGTGACTTAAAGTTTTGATTATTTCTGTTTTCCCTCAACATTAATTAGAACCTTTTCCTACATTCCTAAGTTTTGTTTATCTATAGATATTGTCTCAGGGTAAAAGGTCAGCTTGAGGACAAACTCAAGATGTAGCTTTAGGGATGTGAACAATGGCATCATGTTTCTCTTTTATTTTATTGATGCTCCTCTGAATTCCTGACTGTTTTAGGCCCATAGGGGGACAAGGCACATGAGGATGCACAGGAAGGAACAGAGTTTCCAGCATTCCTTCTGAATTTGGTTTTCTATTGGGAAGTTGATGCTATTCAGACATATGTCAGTGAAGGGGTTTTTGCACAAAACGGAAACGTCCACACTGCTTGTTTTTGCACAAAAACGGATCAGAATAGATTATGCAAATGAAGCACCACAAAATGCTAATCAGCACTTCATTTGCATTGCCTCTTCCAGCAAAACACGTAATGTGGACGTAGCCTCAGAGAAATTAAATTTTGGAACAGCATTGGGGGCAAAAAACAAAAAAAAACAAAAAAAAAATAAAAAAAAATAAAAACTAACAGGCTTCAAGATTGAGCCTGAACATTTTATTGGGGGGGTGGGGGGGTGGTATGATGAGACTGCCTACAATGGCATATAGATGATCTGTGACTATTAGCAGCAAATATTCCCAGTATCCAGTTATGGGACATTAGATGGGGAGGGCTCTGAGTTACTATAGAGAATTCTTTTCTAGGTGTCTAGATGTTTGGTTTTGCCCACATGCTCAATGTCTACCTTATTGCTATATTTAGAATAGGGAAGGAATTTTCCCCCAAGGTCAGATTTCAGAGACTGAGGATTTTTCATCTTTTTCTGCACCTTAGGATACAGGTGACTTGCAGGTTTAAACTAAAGTTAAATGATGCTTCCTCTGTAACTTGAAGTTTTTAAATCATGCAACTCAGTCTGAGATTAGGAGTCTATTACAGAAGTGGGTAGGTGAAGTTTCTGTGACCTACAATATGCAGGAGATCAGATTAAATTATCACTATTGTCCCTTCTGGACTGAAAGTCTGAGTCTACATTACATGCTAACTCCTACCAAGTATAGGTACTCTGAAATAGTTTAATACTGTTGCTTTTTAATGCAATGTGTTCAGGTAGAGTCTATCAGATAAAGCAAACCATGACAGGCCATGACATTGCAGTTTAAATTCTGGAGAATTTCAATAATTTAAATTACTTGATTTAAAAATTATTTATTTAAATCAGGTTGAGGCTGGTTGTCATGATTACAAGGCAAGCTGCACTTAGATTCCTTTTAGTCTCTCTCAAATGCATCCTGTTGGTGAGTTGTTGCCACCTTTATGCCTCTGTCTCTGGGACTAACTATGTGATTTTATCACATGTAAACTGGATCTCTAAGCTGCAGAGCTGCTCTTTACCATCTGCATTTACCCACCAGGTTCAACTGGGTTTAGCACCTGCAACCTCCAGAAGCCTATGATATAGCAGCTGATTAAAGTGACTCGAAACCAACTTCTTCAAAACAAATAATTATTTACTCACTCTACCTACACAGTAAGCACAGCAAATAGATAAAACAAAATAAGGCCTAAATACATTTCCTCTTACCCAAACTTTATCTTTCCTTGCAAGCTTTAATGGGTTTCACTCAGCCCAGTAATCACCACCCCTGAGTTGGGGGAAACAGTGTGTTCTACTGAAGTGAGCTCTCGGGCTCCATCCCTGAATCCCCATCACTGCTCACTGACACTCACCAGGAAGTCCTCGGCTACTTACTCAACCCCCTTCATTATTCCTCTCCTTCTCTAGGCCAGCATTTTTAAGGTTTTATAATTCCCTTTTACCCTATTTTATCCTGGTAAGAGTAAACATAGTCATCTTAATTGGAGCCAGGCCAGAGATATTTGCCATATATGTTAGTTATAAAGTACCAGTGACAAATACCCCAATGGGTTTGCAATCTAAATGTTGCAGTTTTGTGTTAGTCAGGAGTCCCAGGAAGCAACATTTATTAGAACTAAAAATAAAAATAACTAATGACAATTTTCAGATGAAGGGAAATACAAAAGTGAACAAGTGGCAAAAAAAACGCAATACAGTTGAATGTTAAAACTATCATTTTTTATAATCTCGGGTGTTATTACTAAAATAGAGGAATATATTATTTCAAAATGAGATTTGCCTTAATGTTCCACCATCAGGTTAAAAATGTGTGTTATAACATATGCAGTATATAAACATGAATATTCCCTTGTCTGCTGTGCTCACAAAATAGTACTGTTCTATAAAAAGGCAAAGCACTCAATGAACTTAGTCAAAAGCAACATTTTACAAATAATTGTTAAAAGAGCAAGTATTAAGAGTGCTACAAACATGTAATGTAGAGCTTTATGAAAATAAGTATGAAGTTAGGTAAGAGCTATTTGTTTAACCTGGATACAGCTCTATTTGCATTCATGCTGTTTCTGACTAAAATTACAACACAGTTTTTAATATGTGGATTGTGAAAGTGATTTACCTCCATGTATGGTTGTTACTGTTTCAATTTTGGGTCAAAACAGCCAAAATAAACTATTCCTGGAGACCCAAGCCCTGTTCCACCTTAAGAACTTCGAGTTCTTAGAAGACTACTTAGTAAAAGTCATCATATTGGCTTAATGTACTGGACAGCAACTAAATATAGTACTTATGTAATTAAATTGATTTATGCCTCATCTGTTGCAAAGGCTGGTTCCATTATAAAACCTGGAACTTCAGTCAGAAAGTTTATCAATCCATGTTCCAACTAGGAACAGATTTATTTGGGCACAAGCTTTTGCGAGTAAATAAAAATCACTTTTTCAGATGCATGGAGACAACACGTTTACTCACAAAAGCTTATGCCCAAATAAATCTATTAGTCTTTAAAGTGCCACAGGATTCCTTGTTGATTTTGCAGATAGAGATTAATACAACTACCCCCTGACAATAGTCCATTTTCCACTGTCTATAACTGACAAAGGAATTGGCTTTTTTATAAAGAGCAGAGGGAGATGCAGCATTTCTGATGTGAGGTAAAAATCTGCAATCTCTGGAATTACAGAAAGTTCTTTTGGTGACCTATAGCCACCAGCATATGTAATTTTCCACTGCTGGTACATGCTTCCATTGGTCTAACTCAGCTGCAAAAATCACTACAAACACATCAAGAACACAGAGGAGATGAGGTGTTCAAGGGGAATTCTGGGGAAGTATGACTCAGGTACAAGTTTCAACCACCACTATTACTAATATGAAAAGACCCATATTAGCTATCCTTCCAATCCTGGATGAAAAACATTTGGGGAAAAATATAACATTTGACCTGATAAATTATAAATTGGCAGTGTTCTAGATATACAGGGCGCCAGCACAAACTTGCAGAAAACACTTCTAATAAAAATAGTATCATTTTAAGTCATCATAACCAAATTGTTCCCAAAAGTCTTGTTAAACAGGTTAACCCTTTTGATTTCTGTAAAGAGAAAAAAACACCAGATGTTTTAAAATGAAGTATAGTTTTATCACTGATGTTCCTTTTGTTTGTTGTATTTTCCACTATTTAATTCTGTAATAAGTTGTTAATTTATATCCCTAAAAATGTAGAATGTTTCTTCTTTATATGATTTTTTCCTTACTATAACAAGCTTACTTATGGAAGTATCTTTAAAATACAAATTTCATTTACAGCAGAAAAACTAATTAACTTGTCTTGTATATGGTGATCTCATCATTTTAGCATCTGCTAGTGTTAAACTATTTGAGAGTCTGGTTTGTTCAGCTGCTGTGTCTGCAATTGATTACTTAGGGCCCTAGTCTCAAGGGAGCAGTCATTTTCTTTTTATAATTTACACTAAAGATACTGCACGTCTGCTAAATTCCAGACTGTATTTTGCTTTTCCTGTCTTACCATGAATACTTCCCAGTAGAATATCACCACCTCTTGAAGACAGAAATGAAGATTCTGCATACAGATATTTGGTTTTCAATAAACCATCTTCAGTAGAAATGTTAATAGATGTCCCCTGTAGTTTCTCTATATTCACACTCTGTAAGAGAAACAAGCTAAAATAAGCACTATGGAAACATGCCAAGACCTTCTGAGAGAAAACAGAATTACATGATATGCATTTACCCAGGGTGTGTTTATACTGCAGGACTTAACTCGAAATAAGATACGCAAATTGAGCTGTGTCAGTTGTGTAGCTTATTTTGAAATAGGGAGTGTCTACACAGCACTTATTTAGAAGCAGAGCACTCTTCCTCTGACTTTCCTTATTCCTTGTACAATGATGGTTAAATGAATGGAGATTGCCTATCTCCTAGAACTGACCCATGGAGTCCCAACCCCCTGCCTTCACAGCAAGACCAAGTCCCATCCCTGACAGATTTTTTTGCCCCAAATCTCTAACTAAATGGCCTCCTCAAGGATTGAACTCACAACCCTGGGTTCAGCAAGCTATCCCTCCCCCATCACTAGTTACAGAAGTCAGAGTAAGAAGTCTTCCAGCTTGACAGTATTTTTGACAGTATTTCCAGCATATAACTGACAGTCACAATCCTTTATAGCAGGAGACAATTAAGTTTCCACCTCCACCCTGATTTGTGACTGACTGGTAGCAGTTTGCAGTTGCCAGCTTTCACACGGCAAACGCCACTCACTTTCCCATAGCGGGGGCAGCTCTCAATCCAGTGTCCTTGAGTCACAGTGCTGGGGTGACCTCCCCACACAGTTCCACAAAGGTATATTTGTGCATCCTAAAGTTCTGCAGCTACCGCTTATCATCCCTTGCATGCATCACGACATGACCCCACTGCTCAGTGCTTGTTTCCCAAACCCAGTATTGACAGTTCACTATGTACAGCTATCCCATGAATGCCAGCAACAATCTTAATTTTTTTTTACATGGCACACAGAAAGACAGGCACCATGGATTCACTTTCTGTTTCATAGCTCATGAAATATATCGGAACCAGCCACATTGTGTTCATAATGCTGATCGCCAGATTGGTCAGCAGGTCAGGATCCATGCTTTCAAGCAGAGGTGGCAGGTGCATAGTTTACATAGGGTTGTTTAATAAAAGGCAGGAAACAAAGGTGGAAGCCTATGGAATGATTTGGGACAGAAAGAACTGCATCATAGGACTGTGATGCACCGCAGTCGGTTCCCAGACCTCCCAATGGTAGAGGATGGGGACTGGCGCATGGTGGGAGACTGACATGAACATTCTCTATGTTGATGCAAAAGCATCAACTGCAGGTGCACTCCACTGACAGAAGCAGAGTTGCATGAACATGCACAAGTGATGTAATTATACCACCTTACAATCATTGACAAAACTTAAGTCAATTGAATTCTGTTCAAACACTTCTGTTAGTCTATGAGGTGCCACAGGACTCCTCGCTGCTTTGACAGATTCAGACTAACACGGCTACCCCTCTGATACTTGAATTCTGTAGTGTAGCTATGCCTTCGTTTCTTGATGTTGCAGTGCTAGTGCAGCCAAAGCACTGGTGGCCAGAGTTCCTGCAAAGGTGCGCCATGCACAAAAAAACTTCCCCTGCCCACCTCCTCTGGAGAGCAGTGCAGCAACTCTCAAATGGCAGGTGTTTGCTCCAGTAAGCAAGCCGAGCTGAGATGGCATAGTGAAGGAGCCTCAGGGGTAGGGGACCCAGGACCTGTTGCAGCTGTGTGGCAGAGAGGCCTGCTCCGGTGGCCGTGGCTGCCACATGGCAGGGGGGATGGGACCTGACTCATGGGGGGGGGGGAGGTCTGCTCCAGCAGTCGGGAACATGTGCTAATAAATTGGGTGCCACAATGGCACACATTCAGACCAGCGCACATGACCTCAATATTGGTGCACAAGCCAAAACTTACTCAGCTCATGGTTGGAAAATCTTAGAAGGAAAACTGCTAGTGGCCCTGGGCATTTTAAGCATCAGATCATTGACAGTCTCAGAACAGGACATCATGTTTAAAATATTGGTGGTCAGCTGAAACCCTAGCTACATTAGACAATATCATTGTTAATATCAGTGGAACAGAAATATAGGCAGCAAAATTTTAGGGAAATGACATCCTACTAAGCACAGAGCCTGAGCGTAAATTGCTGCAAAGCTGCTTTCTTAAATATGCAAAGAAAGCCTGAAAGTTCAGAGAGGTGTGAAATACAGATTGGACCTTGCTGGCCTGGGACCCTTGGGATCTGACTGGTCCCAAATGAGGGGATTTGCTGCACCAGAGAAGGTCCCTCCCCTCCTGGCCTGTGCTGTCACCGGGATAGGGCTCTAGCCTGTCCCCGCTGCTGCCTGAGTCCCCCCAGGGCTCTCTAGATGCTGCCGGCTTGCTGCTGCTAAGGCAGAGCACCCACGGCTGGAGCCCCACAGCTGCCTGGTTTCATGGCCGGAGCTCTCAGCCAGGTCCTGAACTGTTCAGCCACCTGTTTATGTGGCCAGGGCATAGCTTGTAGCCATCTGGCTCCGTGGCTGGGGCTGGAGTTGCACAGTCAGGGCTGGGGTGTAGGGCTAGGGCTGGAGCTCCACGACCAGGAACAGAGCTTCCTGGATGCTGCCGGGGCCAGAACTCGCTACTCTGCCTCCTGTCCTCCCCCCGCAACACACAGTGGGTTGGTGGTGTCCCCTAATGCACTCCTGAGCCGCTGCCAGACTTCCCTTTTCCTGGGCTCTGTGGTCCACGAACATCCAAGGTCCATGCAAGACCACAGTTAAGGGAAGTACAATCTATACCACGTTTATCATCATGGGTCATTAACTTCATGTGACTAGGTATATTTTTAGTGTTGAATTGTTTATCTTGTACGGATTTTTGTCAGAGTATGACTAGTTTTTTATTAAGTAAATGTTATACAAGATCCTAGCAGTGTAAATTAGCTAATGACTCCCCATTGAAGTAAGTGGGATGTTTTCACCAGTCAGCCTACAAGAAATTCTTGAGACTAGTAGCCATTCTAAATGGCCACATCCTCCATGAACTTACCAATTTTTTTTTGGACTCAGTTATACTTTTTTAGATGCATTAATTCAGCCTTGCCTCATTTCACCTATATGCAGAGTCAGTTTTCTTTAGGTGGGCAAGTAAAATACCATTCATTCATTCATCAGTTCAGTATAGTAAATGGGAGTGAGTAGATTTCCTGACTAGGCAAATTTTTATGACAAATTTGTAATACTGTCTTAGTTTCCAAGTTTAAATAAAAAAATCATGAAGAAGCAAACCATACTTTCTTTTTTATTTTTTGCTCTCATTCTTTGTTTTATAAGCACCTTGACCATTTCTTCATTTTTGTCCAATGTTTTAGAAAACAACTCCTTTTTTGTAGCTGAAATCTTGGTGTCCAATTTCAGCCCAGAAGAAATTACAGAGAATAGCTAGAAACCCCTCACATTCCTGGTTTATAATGTAAATGCTGACAAACCCATAACCACATAATGATGACTACCACTAATGGAACAAAAGTGTAACAGCAGCACACATGGCAGATTAAATGCAGCCTGATTACTAACAGAAACTGCTATTTGAGAAAAGCTGAATATCGCTCTAAAAACTGGCTGCCCAAATACTTCATTAAGAAATGTTACTCTGTAGATAAACATGATCAACCAAATTCTTTTTCCAGTGTCACAGCTGTAAATTCATAGTAACTCTACTGACGACCTATGTAAGTTACTGTGGATTTACAAAGGCGTTACTGAGCAGAGAAGTCCTCAGCTATATTACAGGCATTTAAGAAAATATATTTCCAAATACTAAAAGCTGTATGAAATTATTTGAATGTTTTATTGCTTCAAAGTTATATTTTAGTACACCATTGATGTAAAAAATAGTAACATTTCCAAGGTTGAAATGCACCAATTGTATTACAGTAACTTTAGATGGAACATGACATGAATTGTCACTACAGGCTAACACATGAAATATGAATGTATCAGAGGGGAATCAGGCACAACACTGTAAAGCCAGTAACTCCAGAGACAAATTATATTCTCAGTTACAGCAGGGTAAATTTGGAGTAATTCTACTGAATTCGTGGATGTAAATGAGAATAGATGATGACAAATGACTTACTTATATTAATCCCAGTTTACACCAACATATATGAGAAGAGAGCCAAAGCTGGCATGTTATAAAACAAGCAACTCTGCTTTGGCACAGGTCCCCTAATACTATAGTGAATCTTACTCCGTATGAAAATGCAAGGGTCCCAATCCCCTCAAGTGAGGCCCAGGTGATCTTAGCACAGGAAAACAACGATAGGGGCCATGGTAGTTGTAAACTATCTTTGTTACTCCCTCAGCCTCCTACACTGTCAGAGGCCTCGGAAGTGCTTTAACCTGGCCTCAGAAGAACAATGACATTAGCTAAGGATTATGACAGCGCCATAGTAAAGTCAAGCTGCATCCTTCTCCCAGAATACAGTATGCTAAAAAGCCAGGCTGAGGTGACAGAGTTCTCAGCTGTCTAGGACAGATTTAGAGCCCCTTTGTACCACTGAAGCACGGGCCCACATCTGGTCCATGGAGTGGAAGCAGTACAGAATACTGAAGGCAAACAAAGTACAATGGCATGAAACCTGCCTTATGATGCCATCTGCTGGAACATATGAATTATTTCTATCTTAAAACTAGTTTGCATTTTCAGTTCATACCATATGATTATTATTACATTACATTTGCCCATTAAGCATTTTACCCAAACAACTTTCCAGAAACATACAAGCCATTTTTTGCTTTAGTTTTGATTATTGTACACGTGGGGGATGCGGCAGACAAGAAGCCTGTTAGGTTGCTGGCTGATATCCTCCCAGGTAACCCCATGTAACCCAAACCCTCTTCACCCTCCACCCCTCACTCCCAGCTTCTTTCTGCACCCAACCTCCATCCTCAAACCCGCACCTCCTCCATTAATATCATGAAAGAGCATGGCCTATGACCACTTACGAAATTCTTGGAGTAGCCTCCCATCAAAAATTATTGCTCTCCCCTGACAAATACTTTATCTGATTTTCAGAAATGCTCAACTCTCCTTAACTTCAGTGGAAGCTGTGGGTGCTCAGCATTTTCAAATATCAAAACACTTTTAATTTGGAGCTTAAATATCAATTCAGATGACAATTTTAGGCACTCATATTTGAAAACACTGGACCATTTCACCCTAATATAAGTAAGCACAACTAAGCTGGAACTGACAGAGTTGCATCTACTTATTCCATAGTTAATTTGTTCCTATGTTAAAATAAAAGGAGACTGATTTTTATTTTTAATATTAATAAAAACTAGCATTTAAATCCACTATGGTAGAATTTACATTTATAGATTGACCTCATATGCAAACTTTAAAATGGAGCAAGTTAAATAGTCAAAGATACAAAAAGCAGTCTTATCACTAAGATATCAAATTTGAATCTTAATGTATTAAATTAACTGACACCTACTATATATTTGAGAGAGTTTGTAGGTCTGTTTGTTCAAGAACTCCTCCTAACTTGTAAGAGCTAGAACCACCAAATTCGATATACAGTTTCCCATCATAACTTAAAGCAAGGTAAGGGTTTGGTTGTGCCAGGAAAATGAGATGTGCCTGGGATAGGATTATTTCTTATAGAACAGAAAGAGAGGGCTCTGCTAAATAACAACCATATGGGTGCAGCAAGGCATATAAGATGGAAAGCAGGGACAGTTATACTATATAATGACCACAGGGGGGCAGCAAAGGGCCAGAGACTGGAACCAGAACAGCTACAAATATATAGTAGATAGCTGTCCCTTTCTCACTGGGGCAGCCGGAGGCAAGGGTGGAGAAAGGTACAGCTATCTACTAAACTCTCTCAAATATATGTCTGTCAGTCCCCCAGCCAGAGGACATGCACATGCACTCCTCCTCCAGCTGTGCCCTCTGCAGCTGTAGCAGCCCTGGAGAGGAACTTCTCACCTGGCCCCAGCTGCTTCAGTGAGAGAGGGCTGGGGTTGTCCAGGGGCAGCCTGAATACCAAACCCTTCATCCGCAGCCCCACTCCAGAGCAATGATTTAAATGAAGAAAATAAAAAAAATAATTCAGCTAAGGACCCAAACAACGCTGGATAAATCTTTTAGTACTTTTTATAAAGACAAAGTAAGAAATCCTGAATTCTAGCCTTTAATCCAGCTGGGCTGGAGCAAAGAGGAGGAGCTGCCCAGCCAGCTGGCCGGGGTGTTCAGCCCAGGTGCACCCTTCCCTGCAGGAAGGAGGAGTTGGCCCCAGAGACGGCGTGCGCTGGGGTTTTCCTGCTCCACGATGAGAGGGTGCGGGGAGGGAGGGGGGGGAGGGTGACAAAGGAGTCCTGGGAGGAGGGATGTGCTGGGGACTCCCTGCCCCCACCGGCACCCTGCCCCCACTCCAGAACCCTGTCCCAGCACCCACTAGCACCCTTCCCCAGTACCATGTCCCCTGCTCCCACCAGCACAGTTGGGGCCACATTAGTGAGGCTTGGGGGGGAAGGAGGGGGCGGAGATTTTTGGTTGTTTTTTTTTTGTTTTGGTTTGGGCCTTCCTCAGTACCATGTCCCCTGCTCCCATAAGCACTGTTAGGGCCACATTAGTGAGGCTTGGGGGGGTTGGGGAGGGGGGTTTTTGCATCTCCCTTGTGTGGCCCCAACTGACTTTTCTGTGAGTCAGTGACCCCTGACTCAAAACAGATTCCCCGCCCTTCTCATAAATAAAGACAATGCAGAAACTTTTTGTGTTTGACAGTCTTTTATTTAAAAATGAAGCCTGGCCAACAAACCCCTAATTGGAGCCAAGACTCCATCCAGCAGCAGCATAATAACATTCCTGCACCCCCCCAGACCCTAGATCTGAGTCTATCATACACTGGAACCCCTGCCCTATGCCCCTCACATACCCAAACCCAAATTCCTGCACCCTCACATCCACAAGCCTGTGGCTTTTTTTTTATTCCCCAC